CTACAGGGTTTTGTGCATATCTCAGGATAACATACACTGCCATATTGAGTAAATGTTAATTATGCCAGCTATACATTACTATGTAAATACTAATGAGCTCTATTCAAGGTAGAGATAAAATTGTACTTTTAATACCTGATACACACATCAGAAGCTAATGAAAGAAACTAAAGCTATGATCCTGCAAATGCTTATGAATGTGAGAAATTTTCACGTAAATAGTCACACAGAGTTTGCTTATCTGTAAAGATACTCATGTGTATAAATGTTTGCAGGACCAGGGTCTAAATTGATAAATCTTTTTCATAACTGGCATGTCTAAGGGCCAACTCCCACAGAAGTACTGAGCACACACAACTCCCACTGAAGTTTTAACATATTCTAAACCTGTGGCTCTGAAACTTTTTTTTACTGGTGACCACTTTCACATAGCAAGCCACTGAGTGCGACCCCCCTTATAAATTAAAACCAATTTTTTATATATTTAACACCATTATAAATGTTGGATGTAGAGCAGGGTTTGGGGTGGAGGCTGGCAGCTCGCAACCCCCCATGTAATAACCTCACGACCTCCTGAGGGGTCCCAACCCCCAGTTTGAGAACCTCTGTTCTAAACCATATACTGAAATCAATAGAAGTTACCTATGCTTGATGCTTCTTAGGACCAGTTAAATGACTAATTTAATTTAGAAAATATTGTTGATTGAATGTGAAATACCATAATGAGTCTATCATAAAATTACATTTTACAATACAACATTGGCCTCAGTCATGTCAATAGGAGTACTCAGGTGCACAGAGTTAAGCATGAGCACAAGTACATTTGGTCTCCAATCCCACAAGAAAAAAAAATCCTGCAAAATGGGCCTAAGTGTTGCTGACATAGTTTATTTTGTTGTTTTATTTTGGAATATAATCTCCAAATTGTATTCTGTGTGGGAGGGGTCTGGAACAAATTTAGTAGAATAAAGGTGTTGCCACTCTGTTGGCATACACCTTGCTAACAATAACATTGATTTAGATTATGGAACATGCTGGGAAAAAATGGCCTTCCTACGAAACACACCATAAGTGTAAGCAACCAGTCAGCACACTCCAGACATGTTGCGATGCATCCTTGCCACTGGATAGTCAAACTATGAACTAGCTGAGAACTCCTCACCCCTGGGTCCTCCTCCACAGTTGACAAGATCCTGCTGTTTTCTTGCTCCTTCCACTACTCTGGCCAGAATGCAAAAATAATAATAATAATAATAATAAAAGAATCTGGCCCATAATATGTAATGCAGGTGTGTAAAAATAAATGCAGTATAAAATAAGAAATGATATATTCTACTAAAAAAATTCATCAGGGTGAACTTGTACTAAAGAAAATGGTAGATGATGCCTGTGAGCATCAGTTTACAGTTTTTACATACAAGTCACACATATAAACTGCTCCTTGAATGTCTGCCACTGGTGTTCCATTTCCCATGCTGCCCAGGCACCAGTCAGAAAAACTGCAGGATTTTGAAGCAAATCTAACACTGCAGCAACAGTGGAAGCAACATAAGTAGAGCTCTTACTCAATGGAGTAAGATGACTTGCATTGGTAATAGTGTGTGCTCAGAAAGGAGGAATGGACTTGGTCATGAAAAGTAGCACCAAATCAGGGAAGCAAAGAGATCAAAGGATACCAGAATCAATCAGCAAGGGGCAAAAAGGGAAGAAGGGACACAAAACAATTGAGAGATGAAAAAATGGGGACTAAGAGAACAGAGACAATATAGGAAGAAGTACATTTAACTGTTGGCCACAGTTGTTTGATGGATTACACGATACAAGATTGTCTGGGTCCTCCACACCTTGAAGGTGACAACACTAGCTGAACCCCCTTGGTATTGAAGGAAGAAGAAGCCATAGAAACTTTAATCAGTCACAAAACTTATATCAAAATGAAATTAACATTCAATCTTACATATAAATGTTAGTTAATAAGTGTTTTCTCTTTCTCCCTTAAGCAACAAGTAGGCAACTCTGAAAATGGTATGATATGGAAAGTTAGGAGGTTTAATAATAATAATAAAAGAAATGCTAAAAATACTTTAGTAAAATAATTACAATAAAAGGGAACTGCTGCAGAAGCAAAATTGGTAGTGAGCAGCAGCTGCTGTGCCAAATCAAAAAGAAACTAAAGATGAAAGATTTTCAGCATGAACATCACAGGTTAAGGTGCTGGACTGTAACTCAAAGTCGCACAATTTAGGCTTTAATTAATATCATCACTAAAAATAGATTTATAAGTAAAAAGCAGAGGAATAAACCCTTACAGGAGCTTGGAAACTGAGTCTTGGGAAAGCAGTCCCAAAGGCCAAGAAAAAGAAAATCACACCCACAAACATACTCCACCATATCATGCCCTGTGCAGATAACTTCAGTCTTTCTGGTAAAAAATGTCTTTGCTAACATTATGGTGAGATTCAGTTTTGTGTAACTTCAGTATTTCATAATTTTAAAATACCAATATAGAACACTGTCCTCGAAGCTACAAAAATATGCAAACAGAAATCTGATTGAGTACATTTGTTAGTTTTCCTTACCTTTAAAAATAACAGAAACAATAGGATCCGGTTTTCCAAATTTAGTTTTAGGGATATTGGTAGCAGATTCCACAATCACCCGAAGCATTGTTTCAAAACTTGGTTAAACCACTGCTGTCAGAAAAGGAACTTAAGAAAGTCTGTGCTTCAGATGCCCTGTGTCCTCCTCCAGACTGAAAAGCTAGGAGGAGGAGGAGGCAGCAAGGAACAGTTTGCTTACAGTGAAAAAGGGCTGATGGGTGGATCTATGACGGGCTAGTTACTAAAGACTACAGAAAAAAAAAACTACCTGTAAACTGACACCATAATTCCTGTGCAAAGCAAGCACCATCCAGTGAAGTCTGGTTATGTGACAATGAAAAATGTACAATGTAAACAGTATATAAAAAAAGCCTGAGCATATGAACCTCATATAAGTGATCAGGGAAAGAGGAGTATATAGCTGGCAAAAATTAAACACAACCCTAGTAGTCAGACATACCACAGCTCCCTCTTTCAACTATATTTCTGAATATACTATGTTATTGAACTTTATAATGGTCTACACTTTTCTCATCTTTGCTTTCAATGTGTAATGTTTTAATATATTTCCATGTTTCTTTCCTATTTTGTAAATCCACAAAATATCTACTCTTCAAAACAGTTTAAGTACTACCCATTCTATAGGGCTCAGGTTTTTAATAAACCTCTCTTATACTGTGTAGGCACTATACATTCTGCATTTAAGAATTGCACTGTTATATAAACATTTGTTCAGCCCCTCTAGGAGCAATAATAAAAAAGAAATATGTAATAATATGGTGTCTGAAGAAAAATCTGAAAGTTTTTAACCCAAAAGGAGAGAAGACCTTGTCTATTGCTCAGTGACCTGTAAGTGATTGCTTTTAACCAGAGAAAACTAGGGAGTGGAATCCACTGAAATGAAACCAGTCAGAACTGGTGAATCAGAAGAACAAAGAATTGGCTATACCAGTTCAAACCATTAGTAAGTTTAGTCCTGCTTCCTGTCTGATGTTTTAGAAGAAAAGAAACCAAACCAAAATTACACAATATATCTATTTGTACAATAAACGTACATGGAGATAAATTTCATCCTGACCTCTGCAAATATCACATTATGCCCTGGAACCTCAGATCTTATTATTTTTAGCTTGTATTAACTGCAAATATTATTGATGGTCATTAAATTGTCCAAGCCATCATATTGTACTTGCTGACCTTTATATAGTTAATATACAGAATGAACTACATCTATTGTATGAAGTACGGTAGTATTTCATTTCATTTGGTCTACATGAACTGGCTGTTCATTTCCTTAGTTTCTTGGCCCACCTGGTTACTATCTGGTGGGAAGCCGAGAAAAATAATCAAGAGCATAGATAAATTTAATATTATCCATGTGGAAATATACTGATGCAAATACAGATTTCTTACTATAACTGTCTAGAATGCAATATCAAGGGGATTTAAGCAAGAGCATTCTATTCCAGAGTAGACCAGTAACAGAGCTCCAAGAACCAATTAAAGTGACCCTTTTCCCCAACTGGTCATACAGTAAGAGTGGAGTGTGTAGCATGCCTAAGCACAAAAAAAGTTACAGAAAACATGAGTTTTAAAATAACTGTAAGGGTCCAAGTTTCCTAGAAAAGAAATTAAACTCTGAGTTATACCTCACCCCATTATACTTACACATTGCAGAATCTATATCACAAGCCTGATTCAATTCCACTGCAGTCAATGGAAGTTTGATTGGGTTCCCCCAAACCAGCAATATTTATGCCTAACAGCACCAACCTTAGCTGCTGCCCACTCTTCTTTTATAAACCAAAATTAATTTAACTCCACAACACAAATTCACTCCAGAGTAAAAATTTAATTTGAAATCTCAGTGTACAAAGGAACATGTTCGTTTGCAATTTTTAAAACTAGTTTTAAGGGTTGAAAAGAGAAAACTCCAAAGCCAGACTTTAGACATTTAAGATGGCATTAAAAATCATTTACATAAAATAGTATGTTGGATACCTAGTTTGTGACCCCATTTCTGCTATTTGTATTGTACTGTTGTAGGTGACTCGGAAATTTCTCCCCACAGCTTGGTGGTGTATAAACACAGGTGTCTGGTCCAGAGTAGGGGTGATCACTTTCCTATGTTGCAGTTATTCATTTTTCAGACTGACATAGTGCCCAGATGCCAAGATGACAGACAGTTAACAAACCTCCAGGGGGCAGATATGATCATATGGATTTATTATTCACACGGGGCACCCTGGAGTTGCTAAAGGGAGATCACTCCCTTCCCTACCTCCTCAGCCCCTCCCTCGCTCCCTTCCCTCCCCGTCCCTCCTTCCTCCCCCAGCCCCTGCTCCCTTCCATCCCCTGCTCCCTTCCCCTTCCTCCCCTCTCTCCACTGCTTCCCTTCATCCCCTTCTTCCAGCCCTTCCGTGGCTGCTCCCGCCCCTCCCTACTCTCTCCCCTGCTCCATTCCAGCCCCTCCCCAGTTCTCCTTCCGCCTCAGTCCCTTACTTCCCTTCTACCTCCTCTCCTCAGCCTCGCCCACTCTGCCGTTCCGCCCACCCCAAGCCCTCCGCTCTCTCCCCCCAGTACCTTCCCCCTTCCCTCAACACCGTCCTCCGTACTGCCTGACCCTTTTGGGACCCCGTAGCTCACTTCCGGCAATGACGGAAGTGACGTTGACGGAGCCGCGGGATTCAAACTCCCGGAAGCGGAGGTGTGATTGAGTGGAGGGGGATTTATAGCGGTGTTGTTGCCGCTGCCGCCCAGGTAGGTGTGGGTGTCCCGGTGCTACTGCCGGAATGTGCCCGCGGGGAGGGTGGTAGTGGCGACTTTGCGGACCTGCACGTAGCGGTCTAAGCCCGGAGCTCTCCCGGCGCAGCCCCGGGCCCGCACGGCTGGCGGTAGACGCGCAGCGAACCGCTGCTCCCGGTGGAGGGGTGGGTGGCTTCCCCATGTCCCGCGGGCCCCGAGCTTCCGTGGAGGCAAAACCCCTGATCCCTTGGGTATGGACCTGTCGCTAGTGACGGCCTCTGCCCATCGCTCCTCGAGCAAACCTAACGCCCCCCGGTCAGGCTCGCTGCTCAGAAGCCTAGGGCCGTGGTAGGCGTGACAGCAGCGGCTCGGGTTTCCCCGGTAGCGAAAACTGAGCATCAGAGGAGACAAGCGCTGGAGCGGTGCACAGCGCAGCCCCAGACAGACTGGCTCAGGGGCACCTCTTGAGGAGCTGGGGAAGCCTGCAGCGGAGGGGGAAATTGCGATTGTATCTAGACACCAGGTGCGCCCCCATTAAGATCTTAGCCTTTGCTCAGCAGTGCGTCTTGAAGCGGACACCGGTGAAGTGGTGCAGGCAGTTCTGCTGATCATGGGTTAACTGACAAAGTAGTAAAGCATTGTAACTGTGTTGGCCCCAGGGTATTAGAGAGACAAGGTTGGTCCAATAAAAGTTAGACTAACTTCTGTTTTTGAAAGCGCCAAACTCAAAAGCTTGTCTTGCCAACAGAAGTTGATTCAATAAAAGTTATTCTCTCACCTGCCTTGTCTCTCTAAGGTAGTAAAAATACCTGTGTCCTAGACACCAGTTGTTACCTTATTGATACTACTAGTCCAAGTGCACCCTTGTAAAACAGACAAATCCTCTTGTAGACAAAGCACTACAAGCTGAAAACAAAGAGAAACTATGAAGCTTCTGACCAGTCCAGAGACAACACCCTGATGAGAATTATAGCTCCTTTCCAGTATCTAGGGTTGTGGATTGACCTTTTCACCAGGAGAGTGCTGGTGTGCCCTTCATTCTTTTAAATAGAACAGGAGTACTTGTGGCACCTTAGAGACTAACAAATTTATTAGAGCATAAGCTTTCGTGGACTACAGCCCACTTCTTCGAATGCATACTTTTGTACTTCATTCTTTTGTAATTTCTGGTTAATAGATTTTGTCTTCCAGTTAGATCTCGGTAAATGTTCAAGTCCAGAGTTAGAAGTAACTGAAAACAGATGTGCCTACCCTTTTGCTCTTAAGGTGGGGGGTTTGAAAAATGTATCAGAAACGTTCTGACAAAACACTTTTTCAGTGGAATTTGCTGCTTAGTCAAAAAGTGAAATGTTCCATGGGTTCTGTTGGAAGTGGCACTCTGTTTCCCTTCACAGAGAACTTCGGAATGCTTTGTTTTCCATCAGTATCAGAACAAAACTAGCTTTCAAAATAGAAAAACCCAGTCTGTTAAATGGAATTACCTTTTTGTGCCCAGCTCTAGTAGCTATGAAAGATAAAGAAGGTCTGGTTCCATCAGTTAGCTCCAGGGACAACTTTCTGCTGAAAAGAAGCCTCTGCCACTCTTACCTATAGATAATGGGCCTGCTGGTATTTCAGAATGCTTTCCTTGATACTTATCTTTTGGGATTTGTCTCTGATTTAGAGCGAAGATGTGAAAAATTATTTAAACTTGAAGCACCACCTTTGTCTAATCCCTGGAAGGAACTTCTTGTCTGTCCACTCCAAAGCCTCTTGGCTCCTTTGAGTAGGGAGGATCTCTGCTACTCCAAAACCCATCAGATTGGGTAAGGGATAAATAGCCTCTGCTCCTGAGGTTAGATTTCCAAAGCAATAGTGCAGAGCACTGGAGCTATTCTCATTAGCAGTATTATTTATTTGTATTACTGTAGCACCTAGAAGCCCGAGTCATGGACCAAGACCCCATTGTGCTAGGTGCTGTACAAACACAGAACAAAAGGATAGTCTTTGCCCCAAAGAGCTTGCAATCTAAATATCCTGCTTTCATCACAATAGTATCTGAAAGCCTCCAGTAGTACATTGTGATGTAATTAATATCTGTCACGCATTTTGGTTTGCTCTCTTATCCACTCCCCGAGGGAGAACTGTGTGTACAGTGTTTTGGTTCTGTTTTCTGGGTTTTTAAATGTACACATTGCTATGTGTGTGTAAGCCCTGGCCTGCACTACAAAATTGTCAATATGATTATGTTGCTCAGAGGTGTGGCAAATCCACACCCCGGAGTGATGCAGTTATACCAAACTAACTCCTGGTGTAGACAGCACTATGTCAACAGGAGAGCTTCTCCTGTCGACATAACTACCGCCTCTCAGGGAGGTGGAGTAGCACTCCCGTTGGCGTAGGTGGCATCTTCACTAAGCACTACAGCGGCACAGCTACAGTGCTATAAGTGTAGACAAACTCTTAAAATCGGCAAGGTTGAAGAAATGTGCCTTTCTCTCTGAGCAGAAGGGGCTTGGTTTCTGGTGCTCCTTAATATCTGTGGGAGTTTGTTCTGCAGTCTTAGACCAACAATGCAAAGGTCGGTCTGTCTGCACAGATGAGCTTTACCCTTATGGAAGAAAGTTCCATTGTGTCTGGGGACCAGAATTGTTGATTTTGGTCTTTATCATGGAGTTCTAGGTCATATACTGGACCTGGGCCATTAAGTACCTTAAAGAGAAGAAGGGGAGACCTTGAATTTAACTGGATATTCAATGGGAAACCAGTGTAAGGAGTGAAGGTCAGTTTTGTGTGCACGGTAACCTGAGGTGTTGCTGAGGCAACATGCTGAAGTGTTCTATAGCCATTGAAGTTTTCTAAGGGCTAATGGTGCCATCCCCAGGTGTACTCCATTGCTGTACTCCAGATGGGAGGTGACAAAGGTGTGTATAACTGAAGCTAGATCATTGTCCACCAGGATGGAACAGTCACAAGCCAACCAGAGTTGATAATTACTCACAGGTGCTGCTATGTGAGCACTTAGTGTCAGTGAGAATTCCAGAAACAACTCTTAAAGTACTATGGACTGAACTGAGCAAATGTGGATGTCTGCAATCAACCAAAAGAGACTGCACCACAGATGCAAACTCTTTAAAGTGCTTTCCTCTGCCCACCAGTATAACCTCTGTCTTGCTCGAGTTCAGTTTCAGCTAGTTGCTATGCATCTGTTACCTGATCTCGTCCAAGCATTGGCTTATCTTGGTGGTAGCAATACTATCGTATGTGATGAAGGATAAGTAGAGCTGTGTCATATGCATGTTGCTGGCACTTGAGATCGTCATCTTACCAATATACCTAGTGACTGTAGATGTTGAACAGGACCAGAGAAAATTGATCCTTGAAGGTATCCATGAATGAGAGGTCTAATGATGGAGGGGCTGTTTCCTGTCACTATTTTTGGGCTCTGACACTCCAGAAAGGACTTGAACCATTTTAGCATATTCTCTTGGACCCTTGTCATTTCTTTCAGGTGAGACAGCAGAATCCATTGCAGAGAGGTCCAAACAAAAATTGAGAATGCAAGTCTGCCAAACGTGCTTTGATAGCAGGAGATCATCCCTCAGGTCCACAAAAGATGTTTTCATCCCATGTCTTGGCCTGAATCCAGGCTGTGCCACATTTAGGATATTTGCTTTGTTAGGCAAAAAGATTCTTTTCCCAAGAATCAGGCAAGCACAGACAGTACTGAAGGGGGTTTATTTATGGTACTGGGAAGACTGACAAGCAGCTTCAAAAATATGGTGCCGTAGTGGTCAGTTATATACATTCTCTTGTCAATTCATTTGCATTTATCTGTACATACAGAGACAGACATTGTTACAAGTCAAGAGAGAACCCTGAACAAAGATAAAAATAAGAACAATACATACATATAAAGGTCATCCTAATTACATCAAACATCTATGACTACCTTGTGGGGGAAGGAGGCGGGGGTGTGTGTGTGGGCGGGGGGTAGGGAGGATGGGGGTTTAGGGATGAGTGCTTACAGATATCCAGTGGGCTGTGAAGGGAGGGTTTATTCTGTTCTAAGAACTAAATTACTGGGTGGGCATTAACCATATAAGCTTATCAATTGCCAGTGCCGTTTGTGCTACTGAAATATTCCTGCTTGCTTGTGTGGGCTCAGTCCTGTTTTCCTGACTGAACTGTCCCTTTCCATGGGCACAAGCTGAACTAAGTTATCATGTATTGACAGAAACTATGTCCTTGCTTCTCAGCAGTTTCTTTTCTGCTGGCTGAATTTTAACTCCTTCCTGACAGCTTCAACTAGATGAACTTGTAGCTGGCCTTTGGCTGCAGTCTAAGATTCAAGACCATAGCTTTGCTTCACTTCTCACTCATTTCACATTTGCAAGGTTACCTCTAGAGCCATAAGAACTAAAAACTTAATAATTAAATGAAAGCTTAATTTGCAGAAGCTGGTGTTTTGGTTCTCTCTCACCGGGGTATGTGTGTTTTCAAGCCCTGCCATCAATGATAACCTATAGAAAAATAGCTTATAGTAAAAATGCTTTGCACTTCTATAGTACCTTGTATCTGGGAACCTCTATTGAGACCAATGTTGAGACACTGCACACACATTTGTGAAGTAGTATTATCTTCATTTTACAAATAGGGAAACTGGTTAATTCAGTCTGTGCTGTGCAGGAATAGAATGCAATCTGACTCAGTCCTGAGTTTTAACCATTAAACCATGATTTTATCAAACTTGTCTAAAGACTTATTTTTTTACTAGGTCTCTAGCAATATCTTTAATATGTAATACAGGAAGGGACATCGCTATGTATACATGATTCTTTTGTTTGTTTTCACAGAACGCTTGGAGGATGACATCAAAGGCCACCAAAGATATAATTACTGGCAAGTGGGGATTCAAATCTAGTAACTCCAAATCTGAGACTGAGTTGGAGAAGTATAAAAGAGAGAATGCAGCCCTCAAAAAGTCAATGGAGGAAATTATTAAAGGGAAAAGCAAAATGACTGATACAGAAAGGAATAGACTTTTAGAGGTAATGTATACACTTTGACTTTCAGGCTTGTTTCTATGATGCCATAATTGCACAAGATAGCATTTCTCAACAAACGACTATTCTCCTTGTAACTTTAAAATCAGATTTTTAAAATGTAGTATCCCAGTGTGATGCACTCATTCTTAGGTATTTGTCAGTTGTGCCTGCGCTAATAAATTCCAGGTTATTTTACAAAGTGGTTAAATACAGAGGCCAAGGGCCTCAATGAGTAGCCAATAAAACATGTCCTGTAATGTCTTAATGCTGTTTCAGTGTTATAAAAATGTCAGTCATTGGAGTATTGCCTGCAGAGATCCCTATTTTGGATGATATAAGCACTCTTGGTGAATGAGATGAGAACTCACTGAATTGCATGTCCATGCACCTAGTCTGTATTCTTGTGCTCCCATTCAGATTCACCTAAGGGGATGCAGCCTCAACCACTATAAAGTGTCTTTATGCCACCATAGACAGAGCAGGAATTTGGGGATGTCAATTGCTGCTGCTGTTCTATTTCAGTTTTATTAACTAGGTTAAATAGCTGTGCCTAGCAAAAATAGCACTTAAGCTAAGTTTTTGGCTTTCTTGCCTTTTAGTCTTGTGGCTCCATTGAGCCTTTCCCAGCTCTACTCAAGTCTTCTTTGCTAACTTGAACTAGAAGAAACAGTCCACCAGCTGCAAGCTGTGTCCCTCCTGCAATGGCACCATGTCTTTTGACTGAAATATAATCGGTGTCTTTTTTGTTGTGAAAGAACACGATCCCAATAGGTGCTCTGTGTGTGATCTTCACCAACTTCACTCTGAGTGAGCCACATTAAAATCCATCTCCTGGACACACTCTCCACTTCTGCTTCAGTCCTCCAGTGGCTTCATAGTTTCAAGTAGCTGGGCTTGAACCTCTGCCTCTAGTGGACAGAAACATGTACAAAAGTGAAATGATGCACACGTACATATTAGAAGACAGGGTAGAACCCATTAAAGTGCTGTTCTAATATCCTAATGTCAGTCATCAGTAATTGAAGATACAGTTGAGTGAAGCACAGTTTAAAGCTGAAAGACCAGATTGTGTAGAGCCAGGATTTAATGGTCTCACTGTCAGCTGTTCTTCACTGACATCACTTATGTTTGGGCGGGGGGGGAGGGGTTTGGTGTGTTTTTGGTGGTACTTCTTGTTTTTGTGTTGGGTTTTGGCAAGCTAAATTGCCACATGAAAAGGTCTGCTTACTGTGCTCTAATGGGATTTAAACATGAAAGGAGCTTCAGTCTCTAAAAAGTTACTGGATGCATAAGAAATGTGCCAAAGAAAAATGCTTCATCGCCAAAGACTCCTGTAGTTCTCATGGTATACATGTTTCCAAATTTATACAATTTGGAAGAATACTTGAATGGCAGGAGTATAGGTACCTACCAAGCCAATGAGATTTTTGTTGCTCATGTCATTTCCATGGTTATATCCACCATAGAGTCAATTAGTATGTATGTTTTCACATCCTGTAACTATATTCTAGCTTGTCTTGAGTGGTAATACTAATAATAATTTTTTGACTAAAATTATTGCATGTGTGTTAAAATTTCAAGTAACCTCTGTAGCATTCTCTAGTTACAGTAAAACAAATATTCTCAACTGACTAAAAGTGGGTCTTTCAACATTCAGAAGTGAATATCAGTTTGGACTCTTGTGGACTTTCCATCACATTTCTGTGTGATAATTTTTATTGGCTTATCTACGCTCTTGTTTTGCTCCATGTAGAAAATACTTGCCCTTGAAACTGAAAAGGAAAAATATATCTGTCGACTTGGGGAGAAGGAAAAAGAAATCCAAAGCCTACAAGACAAGCTTAAAACCAGAAATAAAAGTAGTGATGTCACTTCACTACTTAGTCAACTTGAAGAGAAAACAAAGGAAGCAGAGAGGAGAGAACAACTACTTAATTCCCTGTCAGAAGAGATGGACCATTTGAAGCATAATTTATCTACAGTTACTGCAAGATGCTCTGAACTCGAAAACCGAGCCAGCACCTTCCAGTTGTCCCAGGTACATGTTGAATAAATACCCTAATCATTTATAAGCTTACTTTATAATTCTTTTTTGGTTAAACACTGAAATCCATTCTGCAACAAGATGCACTGATATACTACTTCCCTTTTTCTAAAAAGTTTTATGACTGTATATAGCAGTAAATGGAGTAATCCAGCTAGTTACTGTCTGAGGGATTCTCCCCTTTTCAAGCAGTTTTGTGCTGTCATAGCAGCTTAGAAAGATCCCTAAAAGCCCTAAATCTAGATGGATTGTTCCCCAGCACTGGCCTTGAGCAAGGCAGCCTACCCTCACCTGCAAGATCCTTGCCACAAGCTCTGGTGTAGAGTGTGTGGCTGAAGGCATCAGAGAGTGTGAGGGGCTGTGGCTGTCATGGATGCTGCAACTGCCTGTGCTGAAATTCATAAGGCAGTCGGGGGGACTGTCATAATTGAGACGTGGATCAGGGTGTGTTTGAGCATCCTGGAATCCCAGTGCCACGAAGCTGACGCAGTCACCTTGACGCCCCTCTCGCTGAGCTTCTGTAATTTGGGAGAACAACATAGTAAAATCTCATTCAGTGGGCAAGTTAGTGCTAGAAAGGTAAGGGAGGTGTAATTAGATTTGTAAAAATCTACAGAATCATACATTCAGTGATGTCACCCTCTGCAACCCTGGCCAGGAGGACTTGCTGTCGTCCTCCCCAGGTCCTCTGGTTGGTGGAAATGTTGATAACGCAGTGCTGTCAGAAATGGGTCAAGTTAGGGTTTTTGAATGATACCCTTCTCTCATGAACACAATGGTACCAATTGTGACAACCCTAGAATAATTATGTCGAGATTATATGTATAAACATGTTTAAAAATCAACTTTTTTTTTTTGGTAATTCTAGGGAAGCTGTCCTTGACATGTAGGCCTGAAAACATTAATTTGTCAGATGATTTTGAAGCACATGGTATTTCACACATAACCGGTGTGATGAGGCCATCCTTCAAGACCTAGCCATGCCCAATAAGGGATGGTAGTTTTGGTTGTGCTTGATCATCTTGGAGCCTTTCTATTGCTTGATGATTTGCTCTCTTGCTAAACGGTATAAATGCAACCTTTGTCAGTGGCAATTTTTCTGTTTATCTGCTTCTTGGAAAATGTCCACCAATGTAGTTCTGCAAATGTTCTAATGTTTTCAAATGGTAAGCTCAGCATATGACCACTTCCAGTGCCTTTATGACTTCACCAGTGACTGTCTCATCTTTTCAAGCACCTGCCCGCGGGTCTCGAACCGGTTCTCCTGCAGCAGAGACTGATCTGGGCCCCAGCCCGGCCGGCCAGACCAAGCAACCCCAGCCCAAATTGCTGCATGGTGCAAATTCCAATTAACAGTCCTGGCAGATCACTTTTAAAGAGTTTCAAACAATCAACCAACTTCATGTATTGCCACGTGATCCCACGCTGATTCAACCTCATCAAATTGCTTCATCCATTCTGTGATACTGCAGTTCTCTATTGTGCACAAAAGGTCACAGAGTAGAATGTACACTGGATGTGTGTAATTGGTATCGCAAGTCCTCGACCCTTTGGGAAATGACTTCAAACAGCTTAATATGCTTTTCAAAAAAAGACATCAATTATGTTATGTACTGTAACTATGTGCATACCGTTTGCAGATGGATTCCAGTAATTCTGGCTGGATCGTGACCTCTTAACCAGTGCCTCATAACTCTTTATAACAAAGCTGATAATACCACTGAACTGCTTCTTTTTTTGCCGATGGCAAATCAGCCTGAAGCTCCCCTTCTATTTACAGTAATCTGTAACATTATAAAAAAATCAGGTATGTTCTGAGCATTAACAGAGCATTGTACGGTCAGTCGAGGGCTATGATTTAAGTTTGTCAGGGCTGCATGTTGACATGCCTCTGTTAAAGTATAATTAAACTGTTTTTTTTTTTAGACACTTTCTTGAATCTATACCTACATAATTGTTCTGTTTGTCATGTTTGGTACCATTGTATTTGTAGGGGAAAGGGCTTTTGAATGATGCGCAACTTGACCCATTTCCAATGAAGTATTATCAAAATTTCCACAAACTGGAGGAGCTGGGTGCTGGGGAAAGGGGCAGGCGGGGTGGCAAGTCACGCACCCTCACCCCATACCACTGAGGTTAACACCAGTGAAATTATGATTCTGTAGATTTTTATGAATCAAATGATACCTTCTTTATCTTTCTATGATTAATTTGCTCATGGAATTACACATGCTCCCAGGCTGTTAGAGGGGCAGCACAATCTCACACTACCTTTAAAGAAATGCTTATTTAACTTCCCACCTGACCTCTCTGTGGTCAAAAACAAACATCTTTGAGCTCCCCTGTCTCTTTGGTCTTACAAATTCTTATTTACTGCTAACATGCAATTCTGAGAACTGGCCACCTGTGACATATGATGTAAACCACACAAACAGTGCATGAATGTTCTGTGCTAACAGAAGACAACAGGCCAGTCCTCTTCAATCTGCATGGTGGGGTAGCATGGGAAATGTACTACAGCTGGATGCTACAGCAATGCATTTTTGAAGAAGAAAACTACTACTTATAGTGACCATAGCTGAATGAATAATGATGTTAGCTAAACAGCTGCATCTACTTAATCTAAAGAACAATTCCCAGAGGACCAAACTAGAAATCATTTTTTCCCCAGAGATAAAGTGCTCTAAGAGCTTTGACTTTCTTTTGGGCGGGGGGGAAGGGGAAGGAATCCCACCTTAAGTGTAAATCACTTATAGCTCAGGTAGTCTGATATAGGATCTGAAAATATGTTTTATCTGCTTGCTTTCTGTGCTGCCATCACCTCCCCAGTGCTTTATAAGTGACTACAGTACTGTAAGAACTACTAGGGCTTAAACATCAATGCTTTATACACTCGAGCAGTTAGATCCATTGGTAAAAATATATTTGAGATAAAGGTGGCGGGGAGAGGAGGAAAATGTGGTAACGGTCTTAAGGTCCTGCATCCTTTGACTTGCCAAGGCAAAATTCTTAAGCAAATTCAATAACAATCCCTCTCTGAATCCAAGGGGGTCTCTCACTTCAAAACTCTGTTCACTCTTCCCATGAGACATAAGTCCTCTCCTAAACCAATTGTTCATAAAACTAGCTATTCTTCTTCTCTCTTGTACCACTGTCACTCCACTAGGGGGCTTCACACACACAAGGTGCAACCTTGTATCTCAGTCCACCCTCTTCCAGTCAACTCTGAGGTTCACTCTGTTTTTCAAATTATTCACTCCTTCCTATGTAACTTGTAGGGATGAATGGTCCATTTTCCCCCTTCTCCAAGCAAAGCCCCACTCTGCTGAAAATCTAACCTTGGCACAAAGGAGATAATGTCTAACTCTTCCTCCCATCCTGCAGTGTTCATTCCAATGGAGGGACGCAATCTGCACATCTGATAAAGCCTCCTAAAGTAACTCTTCTTCCCAGCAACACTTAATTCTTGTTTTCAAGCCCTACTTCATGTATTAATACTTAACATTATTTCTTCCTTCCCAACTTTAGCCATACTCCCTTCACAAACCAACAAAACTGATCCCTCAATTCCAGTAAAACAGTAAGCTTCTGGGTCCCTGGGGGACTTCTTAAAGGTACCCCCTTCCCCAGGTCAGAGTTATGGTGACGTGGCAGTCGTCTCTCACCTGGATTTGGGAGATTTAACTCTTGTCTCCACCTTGAAGAGTGGAATTTTTATGTTAATGTATCCACATTCAGTTTGAAAACTGGGTCCAGGTTGTGATTAATGCTCCGTGTATTAGGCCTGGTAATTACCTTTGAAAATCTTATGCTGTTGTCTGATTTAGGGTGTTAATAATATTAATTTGAATAATATGGGTTTTAGGCTCGCCAATTTGTTTGATCAGAAGATAAAAGTTCTTGTCCTGAATCAGGCTCCACGGAATTTACAAAGGACCCTCGGGGGTATGCCAGGAAGCTCACACTGAGACTGATCGCTGCCAAGAAGCAGTCACAGGAAATCAGGTTCCTGTGCTCTTAAGTGTGAGTGAGTAAGACACACAATCTTGCTCTCTAACTCTCTGTAACTTTAACTCTTTACTTATGCCTCAGGTGAGAATCTCAGGGGTCTAAAGATGCCTGGAATCCCTGAAAATTCCTGTCACACACTCCATGACTCTCCTGGCTGGCTTGCCAGTCTGTTGCCTGATTTAGGGTATTAATATTAATTTGGATAATATGGGTTTTAGGCTCGCCAATTTGTTTGATCAGAAGATAAAAGTTCTTGTCCTGAATCAGGCTCCACGGAATTTACGAAGGACCCTCGGGGGCATCACACTCACACTGGAAGCTCACAGTGAGACAGATATAGCCGTAAAGACTTTTTATTAAAATAAATGAAGTAGTAATTAAATGGTAAAATAATCAGAGTTACAAAGTTACAATTATATTACTGCTATTTAAAAGATACATAAGCTGAACTTACATTAATATAAATCTATAAACCTATTACAATAAACCAAATATTTAAACTACAAGAAAAGATATATATGCAAGCAGGTTAATCCTATAGGCTGCAATGCTAAGGGCCAGTTCTTTCTCCTTCCCTTTAGAGTTGTAGATAGCAGGATGCCATGGTGAGTTGCTTCTTACTTTTAGAATGGTTAATAACTATAGTGTGTCTAGATACGAGACTGCCTGCATTTATAAAGGTATTTGTTTCCATTTCTGTCAGTTCTGCACTTTTTGAAAAGCAGGGATACAAAATAAGAGGGGTGCATGTACACTCAGTTGGCAAAACTTAGCTATAAACATTGTCAATATGCTCTTTCTGAGTCTTGGTGGGAATGGGGATGGAAAGTCTCCTTCCCACCCCCAACTCTTGTTCAATAGATGGCACTGATCATCCTATATTTGTATGGTTTTAGCTGAATAACTTTTAGAAACTTGGCTTGTGCCAGATCCTTAAGTAAGAAACCCAAATATGAATTCCCATCTCTTGATTTCAAAGAAGGAAACTTTGTTCTGAATAATATCCTATCATAAATATCCTGTCTTTCTGATGCAGTACCACTCTGAATTTGCCCCTGAACTTAGTGTGAGCTCCCTAATATTATAAAGTAACACTTCTTAAGCAAGCTGGATGAAAAGTGTTATACCAAGGCAAGAAAAGTCCAAGTTAACTGAACAAAAAGTCAATTCAGAATAGCCTAAAAATTCAATAATCATTCTAGTAATCTCTTGTCTTCCAAATTTAGTGATGGTATCAAAACCATGTTTCCGAACAGTCTGAAGTCAGTAACTAATACCTTGAGTTAGGCTAGTAGAAAACATTCTCAGAAGCTAGTCATGCTGTTACTAGAGCTCATTTGGTACATCTATCATAGTGTGCTATAGAGCACAGGTTAACAGCTAAATGTTTGCAATCTTTCCACTGTTTCCCAAGAGAACAGTGCTGTTTCCCTGCCTCTGAGTCACTCACTTGTGGTTCACAAAGCCCTACTCTTTACCCCATCCTCTTTAACCTCCACATGAAGTTACTGGGTGGAGGGAAGTGTATGTCTACACTGCAGTGCAAGCCTGAGCCCAGGCTTGAGTCTAAATCACCCTTCAATTCTATATACACATCTCTTTGGATTGGGCCTAAGGTCCTAGGACACTGCAGGGCTGGAGGGTTTGAGCCCCATTCAAGCAGGGACCCAGGGTTAGAGCCCTGCAGATTTGCAATGTAGATGCAGCCCCCCAACTTGGGTTCTTGGAGTCCACCAAAAGTATCCCACAATCCCAGGGGCCAACTTCCTTTGTCCTCTCTATCCTAAGAATCTCCAGTCGACTCCAGGGAAACGGAAGCCGCTCCTCTTGGTTTGGTGCAGCAGCTCAGTGAGTCAGTGTTTAACCTTCCCATTGTCTTCTGAACACCAAGCTGCAAAGTCACCATCAGAGAGCCTTCTGTGTTTGCAATGGACACTGAACAGAAGTCGTTTGCAAAGTGTGCTGCTTCAGGAGCAAAGCCAGATTTTGGTAAATCTCTGGTGCAAAGCCAGTAAAACAGTGGACTTTAAAATACCAGGAATGACCACACATACCAACAAATAGCGAAGAAGCTGGCAGCATTGCAAATTTACGAGACCAGTGCAGGGAGTGGATTCAGCAGCTCACAGAGTATTGGAAAACCAAGGGCCAGAACCACACCTTGGGCAACTCACCAACATCATGCCCAATTTATGATGAGTTTGAGAGGGTGCCGGGCACTGCGCTGACTACCGAGCCAATGGTGGTGCATGATGGCGCCCTGCTGGCCCCACAATCCAGCATGGGGACAGATTGGGGTCAGCAGCAGGTGCCGAGTGAGGACAGTGAAGTGACTCTGTTGCTGAAACGGATCCCAGAGGAGGCTTGGAGCAGTGAGAGCGCATCCTGGGATCATACTTGGAGAAGCTGTTTGCTTCCTACTCCCCCGGAGAAACAGCCTGCTATGGAAGTCTATATCAGACACAGAAGGGACAGAAGATGCCCCTGAGCCTGGTAAGTTTCTAGCTCCATTTTAATGTTTAATACAGTAATGGGAGGGTTTTCTGTTCTAGGAGCCAATGCAAAAGCTGTTAGAAGCCCCGGTTAATAACGTCTGTCCGCTAAGGGCAGGTAGTATGCCACCAGTGGCTGGACTTTCCCACCATGTGGAGTTCAAAATAGCACCAGGGAAATGCAAACAGTAAAAGTGCCTTCAAAGTGAACCTCTATCTGAGAAAGCAGTTTTCATAGAATATCAGGGTTGGAAGGGACCTCAGGAGGTCATCTAGTCCAACCCCCTGCTCAAAGCAGGACCAATCCCCAAATCCTTAAATGTCCCCCTCAAGGATTGAACTCACAACCCTGGGTTTAGCAGGCCAATGCTGGGTGCTGATAGCTGCACATTTTTCCTGAAGCAGGAACTCCAGATAGGTAGTCGTATTGCGGGGGAAGGATGTATTTTACAGGGCCATCTCTGTAACTGACCTGCCCATTCCACTCATGTAGTGACTCAACAGCACATCTATGTTTGAGTACTTTGCTTGCATACACTGCAGGTTTCCCATCAGCAGCTTGGAATAACATCTCCCTTTGCCAGTTGGGCACCACAAGAACTGTTATGTCCTCCAAAATGTGGAGTGTCATAAATGATAGAAAAAGCTTTTGTAGCATGGCCACTGATGGCACCTTTGTTCTCCTCTCCTTCCCCCCCCGCGCGCGGTAGTTCTGCAATTTTTTTTTAGAAAACAAAAAACAGCTTTGAATTTTTAATTTACCATTGTCTCTCCGCTTTTCACTGAGATTAACCAAGCTGTGTCCACGGGAGCTTGGGTGGTCTGGCACATCCCTCTATCAATATACTGAAGTTTTAGTCTGAAAAAGTAGCACTTTATGTCCTTGAAATTCTACAAGGATTTTTTCTGTGCTCCTGCACTGAGCTATTTGAGACAGTAACCCTCTGTGTGTTGTGCTTTTCCAGGCCCCTGGACCTCTACTGGCTGCAGTACTTCCACAGCTCACCAACACTGCAGCAGAAGACTGGGCCAGTGTAACTAAACAGATCGTTCCAAGAGGAAGCATTTCTGTGATGAGCTGATGGTTGAAGTTCTGGACAGAGCCGCCAAGCAGGTCCAGTACTAAAGGCAGAGATTCTTGAGGCTAGAGGAGAGGCCTGGCAAGAGGAAAGGCTCAGGCTTGCTGCACAGCTTGAGGACAGGGCTTCAGTGAAGGAGCAGGCACTTGCTTCACAGTTCCAGGAACAGCAGTTGAGAGAAGGACAGAGCTCAGCAGAAAGAACAGTTTGAGCAGCAGATATCACTAATGGCTGCAAGAGAACAGACTCCTGCTGAATCACCCACATCACAGCCTCAGTCCCTTGCATGCTACCTTGTGATGCAGTCCAGAAACAGCTTGAAAAACTCCATGGCTGGATGGCCCATGCAGTTGGGCATCATGAGTAGCTAGACAGGGCAACTGCCCCATGCAGCCCTACAGATTGATCCCCTCTACTGGATACCTCCACTCTCTGGCACCAAGTGTGCAACAAACAGGGATAGAAGGGAAAGGACAGCCAGGGGGCAGGGGACATGCCATGGTAGGGGGTTTCTGTCTTATACCTAGCTTTGCTCTTTGAACTTGTTCATGCACGTGTGTGTGTGTGTGTGTGTGACTGGTATCTTGGTGTGGTAATGGCAGCTTGCCTGCCTGGCAAGGGGTTAACATTGTACTTTTCTAATACATATTTATAAATAAGCTTTTTATTGTATCAAGAAAGTTTTTATTGTTATCACTTCATACAGTGTGTACTTAAAATAATACAGGTAAACATGTGATCTGGGATAATTAAGAATTTGTATGCAAACACTATTCCTCAATACAATTGTCTAGATCAATCCATACTGTGAATTGATCCTCCCTCCCACCCTCATTTGACAAGTGGCCATGTCATTCATAAGTACATTGCATGGCAATCACCTCCTCCCCACACACAATCAATGAGCCCCACCCAAGCACATTCATAAAGGTACTGTTCTCCTCCTTCCACTGGGCCTTTGAGGTTTATGTATTTGTGCTCCTTCAGGGGGGCAAACTATGGGCATGTGAGTCCCATCAGTAGCCCCAACACAGTGTGGAAAGTCCATTCTCTCAAAGCCAGCAATTACTTCAGGAATATATTTTTATACCTGCAACCTTGGCTTAAACCATATGCCTGATTGCCTTAGAAACCTCTGCCGTTGCTTTACCACCCGTAGCAGTCTGGGGTAGCCAGCTTCCAGGCAGTTACGGTAACTCACTTCTGGACTAATCGCTGCCGTCATTCATGTCTTTACGGTGGAGGTTCAGGGTGAGCTGCTCACAAAGCTCCAGAAATCTCTTCATGCGAAAGTTCTGGATCCATTGCTGGTCATCCCAGGTATGCATAACTGTGATCCCACCAGTCTGCTTGTGGACCTACTCCAGAAGCACCAGCCTACATGGGAGGTGTCAGCGGCTATACTGACTGTCATGAGAAGCATCAGCCAGTTCAAGTCTGCCATGTCTGTGGTGTTGTCGTCGTCCATGATAAGCTTTGTCAGGTGCCTTTTGTGGGTCAGAAAACACCACCAAAATGTCCATCAATGTCTCTCAGAAGTTCTGCCTGTTTCCTGACACAGGAATGAAAGCCCAAGCAAGAGTTCTTCCAAAGGTGTGTCTGCCATGGCGCTGGCTCTGATAGCTGGGGGTGCACAGACCAAAATGACTGCTTGGCAGGCTGTTCAAGCTTCCTGTAATGTGCAGGGTGGACAGTCAAGTTTTTCCCACAATGCACCATGGTCAAAGGGCTAAAGTGGCCACATTTTGGGAGCATGCTAGGGAGTCGGATATAATTGGTTTGACTCGGGTTTGCTTGCTGCAGTGTGGACACCAGAGCCCCAGGTTCGAGCCCAGATGAGAAAATTGTTTACCCTATGTTAAGAATCAGTGTAGACGCTTAAACCTTGGATTATCTAACCCAAGGTCTGCTGTCTTGAGTCTCAGTAACCCTGAGTTCACGTTGCAGTGCAGACATACCCACAGTGTTCTCAGGTGCCAGCAAGACACTGACAGTGCCCAGTTCTCATTTGCTTCCAAAGTAAAAATACCAGTGCCAGCTATCCCTGGGTCTAACAGATCAGCTCCTGGATGAAAAGCAACTAGCTTAATCTGAATCAGAGCAAGATGGGTGAGAAGAAAAATAGTATTTTGAATACTAACCATTATCTTAGTATAACAGTTTATTGAGGAAACCTGCCCTTCCCTGGCACCGTTCATAGTTTTGGGATCTTTATGGATTCCTCACTGAACACTTGGCCACTGCTTCCATAAATGCAGCTTTCAATCCACAGCGGGCCAGTAGCTTGTACATAACCTGGCTACAGTCCTATGTCTTCATGCCCTCCAGTCTGGGCTGCTGCAACTTGATACTCTTAGGGGTAAGTACACAGCCTAAATGCTTTGGTTAGATGCAGCAGCCTGCTTCCTTTCTTCTGGAGAATGTGACAATGGATCCAAATATCTCTGGTTTCAGTGTTAAATTCTAGTTAGCATCTCTGCCACAAAATGGGAAAGATAGAAAGAAGGTGGTGACATTTTTCTGGCTGCCTGCAGGGAACATACTATTTTTGAATTGGTCTTGTTAAAGAATTCATGCTACATTAAGTGCAGCATAAATCTTCAATGGAAATAACTAGCAATAGACTTTGTCCCTGTAAAGAGCTATTCTATTTAACAACAAACCTGACCTGCTGAGGATGGCAAATCCAAAGTAAACATCAGTTAGAGAGCTAGGGCAAAGAATCTTTGTGGCCCACGAGAGCCAGTTTTTAGTGTCTTTAAAGCTGTATCATAGCCCCAAGAATTATTCTGTTGCTAATCTGTGCTAGCTTTCCTGCATAGCCACAGCTGAGAGATCGATTTAGGTATCAGTTATCAGAAGGATTCCTACTTACTTAATCTTAAACATAAAGTATGAGGGGGCAGATAAGAGTGGAATAATACCCTACCCATTAGATGACCTTTCCTGTCAGTAATCTTAAAACAGTACCCCACATGTTCTTGGCTGGCTATTCTAAATGGAAACAGACTATCACAGACGCAATTGTTGCCAAAACATGGGATTGTTTTATCTGTGGAGCAGGCTGATTACCAAAATAACTTTGTATTAATAGAAGTATTCTTCTTTCAAATTGTCATTAATAAATGAAGTGCAAAAAAGGTAAACTTAGACTTTTTGATTGGATATCTTCACAAACTTGAAAATGTGTATTGTAATGCCTCTTACAAATGCTAGGTGGTGTAAGAGTAGCATGTATAACATTAGGAAAAAGTGAGGAAACACTTGTGTTCAGACATCATAGATACTGAGTTGTAATATTTATAGAAACGAAGTTTTTAATCAAAATACATCTGTAACAAATATTCAGGATTTAATGTTATACTTCATGTATACAGAATAGCTTATAAAAGTTCTAATACTTGCATTCAAGATCTCACGTTCAGAATTTGTCCCAAAAATTTATTTGTTGTTGTAGAAATGTGCTGCAGAATCTAGAGGTAGACTTTTCAAAAACATAAATTGGATTTAGGTGTCCTCACATATTTTGCCTCTGTCAATGTCCCCTGTAACCTTTTAAAAAAAAAAAAAAAAAAAAAGACTTCTAGCACACGTGAATTGGAAGGTTCTTCAAAATATGAACAGTATAAACTAATGTAGTGATGCCTATAAACTCTGAAACTGCTGCTGGTTATTATACACCTCTACCCTGATATAACGCTGTCCTGAGGAGCCAAAAAAATCTTACCGCATTATAGGTGAAACTGTTATATTGAACTTGCTTTGATCCACTGGAGTGCGCAGCCCTGCCCCCCCGGAGCGCTGCTTTACCGCGTTATATCCGAATTCGTGTTATATGGGGTCGCATTATATCAGGGTAGAGGTGTAGTTGGGTCTTAGCCCTGAAACTACACTTTAAATTTCAACGCTATTTGTCAACTGAACATTTTTAGAGAAAAACCTAGTTAATTATGTCCCTCCTCCCTTGCCTTTCTTCCCTCTCATTCCCATGATCCCATACTGATTCCCATGCCTTCCAATGTGTTAAAAAGCCCCTACATAGCTGATGAAACTTCCACCTTCCCCCAGCAGTTCTGAATTATCAGTAAAAATCTGCAAGATAATAACAGCTTTACAGCAGAGCAAAATTCAGCTTAACAAGAAACACTTTACTGACTTACTGACTTCCATATTAAACTTAAACCATCAATTTTCTTAATTTACCAGAAGCTACAGCACAATACAGCAGTGCCACAGAAACAAAGATTGGATGTCTTTCTAAAATATGTCCTAGCTCAAACAGAAGTTATGGGCTTCATGAAGGAACTGAAGCAAAATTCTATGGCCTGTGTTTTATAGGAGGTCAGACTAGATAATGGTCCGTTCCAGTCTTAAAATCTGTGAAACTAGGGTTCCACCACAAAAGTTAGATCAACTTGCAGCCAAATACAAGAGGGTGAATCAAAAGGTTTGATACTTGGAACACATTTGTGGATAAGAGTATTTCTTTGGGCATCCTCATGATATCAAAATTACATGTATTGGTTTTTAACTCTGACTGTAAGTGCTTCTTTCTTACAAGACTATAAGATTAGTTGAGAATACACTTTTCTAGAGGAAAAACATTAACACATTCTTCTTTGTCTGCAGAAAGCTGCAATGAACTGCACTGCATCACCAAGTAATCTTAATGAAGTTGAAAAACAATTGAAAGATGTAAGTTTCCTTTATAACATTATAAATGTATATTCACTATTGTAAGTATCTCCATGCATGACAATGTAAACAATACATAGCACACTTGAAAGGGAAATTGAGAGACCTATTTCTATCTGAAAATATTAAACCCACAATTGTTAAAAGTAATCCTTAAGGTTATTATAACTGCAAGGTGTAAGACCAGTGTGCTATTTTTGCAGTTTTACTTTGTGCTTTTGACAACATTTTGTGTATAGTCAGATTCACTAGTTTTGTAGTGCAATTGTATTTCAGGTTTCCTGTACTGTTAGAATGCCATGGCTCACATGTTTTCTTTCCAGTCCTTGTCAGTGGGTACTTGCCAGTTAAGAGCCACACCAAAGCTGAGAACGAAGAGGCAGTAGGCCACCAGGAGCACAAAGGAAAAAACAGGGAGCCTGAGCACATTTAGTGTTGATTTCAGGCCTGCCCAAAATACATCAATAGGGGAGCAGAACAAACCCTTGCAAAATTTGCCTCTTTATTTAAATAAAGAAATCCAGGCATATAAGGGTACCCATCAGAAAATAGCTCTGAGCCCATTTAAAGAAAAATCAAGTTAATAGTGATCCTTTACAAAGGAACTAAGAAAAGCATTGCCTTCTCACAATGCAAAGACAAACTTGCTAAAAACTTATGGGATCTTCTGACAGGTCCTTGGAAGCATTCCATCCTGGAATATTAGCGTTATCAAAGATGGTGAGGAGTGGAAGCATTTTCAGATACTATGTTTTGACTTTTATTTAAAGTGTTCTTTTGTTCAGAGATGGTTAGGGCAGCAAAAACCCAATCTGTTGGGTTTTTTCACTCCCTCCCCATGAATAAAATGAAGGTAAGTTTGTACCCTTCTCACTCCCCAAAAAAGTACTGTGCTATTGTTACTTTCTAAAACAGCAAAATAGGTGTGGTACCATGTCTGTTATGACTTCATTTGGCATTTCCAAACTATATTAGAGTTAAAACATTTGATCTTTCCCAGGATATCTTGTCTGAGATCTTAGAGTCAGTAGTGGCGTGCACACCCTTGTAACTATTTTTACAATCTTTATGTAGTGAAATAATGTCACGCACACATTAAACTTCACCTTTTAACATTTAATATGCATTGTTATGAACTGCACTATAAAATAAGCAACCCTTGGCTGATCTTGACAAGGAAACTCATCTGTACTGGCTATAGCAGTTTACCGTAGCTATCTTAATCTTGGAACATTACATCACCTATTTAAATTTGTTTGGAGAATTTTGTATATAGGTATCTTTGCAGTCTTGCCAACAAGCAGCTGATCGGTATAAGCTTAGGACCTAGACAACTGAGTTGTGTTAACACAACACACACTTCTAAATATTATGTTAGTTAAATTCTGTGATCTCCCACCTTCATGCAGCCAGTGGCCTGTGCTCCCCATTGCCATGCTGGAGCCTCCACATTTATCTGACAAATAAAATATGCAGAATTTTAAAATATTGTGCACAGAATTTTTATTTTATTATTTTTTTTGACGCAGAATTCCCTCAGGAGTATTACATAGAAAACATTGGTCTCAATACTGGCAAACCAGCTTCTATGGGAGATAATTATGTAAGCGAAGAAAATGTTCTTTATGGCAGGGGAGATGTACACGTAGGGAAACTTGAATCCTGTAGTTTCAGTACTCTTGTTCTTCATCCCATATTGCACTATTTACAGTACAGACTTTTCACTTAAAGACATTAGTAAATGGGAGATGTTACATATCAATATTTAGTGCATTAAAAGGCAAATACAATTTTCATTAAACCCGTATTGTTAAATCTATGGGAGAGAGGTGACACCTTGAAGATTGGATATGTTGGTATATACGGATCATTTGATGTAATCTGATAACATGAAATGTTTGGGGATCTCAATTTACATTATGGAAATAAAACTATTCTTTCCATAGTTAAATCTGTGAGTAGCCTTCTGCTGTTAGCATGAGTTTTGAAATATGCTCATCTTTTAATTTACTACTAATTTTTCATTTGTATCTTCCTCCACAAGGAAAATACTTCCTGAATGTTTGGGAACTGATTAGACAAGGTGCATTTTATATATTACAGCTTGAAAAATCCAGAGTTCTCATTTTTGCAGACTTTTTTTAAGTGGAACCTTCTGTTTCAAAAATGGCTTGACATAAACTTCAGCTTTGGTTTATTCTGTCCTCAGGGACCATTATTTAAATCAATCTTTCCAAAAGGTATTAGTTAATAGTTCTTTCATTTAAAATTAACTCCTTAGTCCCTGGTTTTAAGGAGCCTTTTCTACTCCAAGTGATAAACTAATCTGTACTAGCACACCCAGTACAGATGTAGATAAATTCAAACTGTTGCAGTGGGAAACTATAATCTAACATTAAGATCTTCAACAAACTCACTTAACCTTTTCCATATAACAGACAGCAGAGATGTGAATATAAAATAGAAATTACTCAGTGCAGGAAAGTTACTACATCTTGCAGACTAGAAATTAACTAGCTTTCCTTGGCTGTATTTTTGAATATTGGAAAGAAAATGGGATGGTAATGTTCTAACAATGTGACTAATACCGTTTTTTCCCCTGCATGAAGGCTCTGGAGAAAAACCAGCAGTGGCTGTTATATGACCAGCAGCGAGAGGCATATGTCATGGGACTGTTGGCAAGGATCTTTGAACTTGAGCAGCAGTTAGAAACAGTTAACCAACAGCAGGCAAAAGAGGCCACTGCAGAAGGTATTAATCTAAACTTTCCTTCAAAAGTGGACAAAAATCATGAGTTTTATTATTGTTTACAGTGTTGCTATAGCAGTGTTGATCCCAGAATATGAGAGACACAACGTGGGTAAAGGAATATCTTTTACTGGACCAACTTCTGTTGGTGAAAGAGACAAGATTCAAGTGCCACAGAGCTCTTCTTACCAGACCTGAAGAAGAACCCTGTTGTGCTTGAAAGCTTGTCTTTCACCAACAGAACTGGGTCTAATAAAAGATTTTACCTTGTCTCTTAAGTTTTATTCTATCAAATGTCATAATATGTCTGAATTGAAACACAAGAAAATCCCTAATTTAATGATAGAATTTAAGCATTTCCTAATAATTTCAGTTCCTTCGTGCTGAAAGATGAGGAAAAAGATTGTACTTACCAGACTTACAAGAGTTCATTGCTATCTAGCTACACTCAAAACAGAACCCTCTGAATTTCTTGCTATTCAATCTGCTACAATGTGTGCCAAGAAAACACTTTTATTGCTCAAGGGTAAACTTGCCATAAAAAGTCAGCGATCCAACTTCTAGGTGGACTTTTTCTTGACGTTAACCTGTTATCCTTTTTGTTTGCATAAATAGTACTCTTTTAAGCAAACATCATTATGCCACCCATCCTGCACATTACACTCCTAACCAGTGTTGCAAATTCATTAAAGAGTCATTGCTTAGGTATGGACTTATTTTTCCAAAATACACATTGTTAAAGATGACTCATAGGAGGTGTTTGCAGATCGAAGACCTAACCATTTTTACAGCACAAAAAAAATTCTGTAAAATGGTGTTCACCATCCCCCATTCACCGGCAGTTGCATGATCTGGACCTCTAAAAATCTAGGATGGACCATGCCTCAAACATTGGCTAAAACCTTGGTTTGCGTCTATGTACCAGATACTTGATGATTTGTGACACCGAATCATATGCCACTTCTGCTAGCAACCAAGTCAGACACTTTTTACCTAACCTGTCAGAGGAATGAAACTGTGCTAAACACCTAGCCCACTGAATGGATTTTTTTTTTGCCTGCATGGAGTATTTAGAATCTGCAGTGGTGCAGCAAGTTTCTAGACCTCATTGTTGCAAAGAAAACACTAAAACTATGAACCCAGTTTAACGTTGTACTGCTTTCTCCAGCTTTGCAGGCAGCTTGAAACAAGGGCGGTATGATGTCAACTTTCCTTTATTTTCTCTCCAATTAAGCTCCCTGAGATGTTGACTTTAAAGAATTAACTTTTTAAATATCAAAAGGCTATTTCATTGTTTTTGTGGATGGAATGAGGAAAAGTTTGGGTAAAACAGGAACTGGGAAGTGCTGGGGGAAGGAAAGGAGCAAAAACTCAAACATGGGGTAGGAAAAGAAATGAAGAAGAAAAATAATGCTCAATTGCTCAAGAAGAGTAATCTTCCCAATAAATGATGCTAAAGTACTGAATCAAGGATGCCACGCTTCACCTATTGATCTTTGTGCAAACAAACATCTACTGACATCACTTGGAAATCTACTGTGATTGTGTAGTCATAAACAACCCCTTTTCCCCCCACGCACACCATCTCATAAAACAAAGTCTAGCCTTCCCTACAGAACAAGTCTGATAATCCCTATCATTTTTCCCTAACCATGCTCCTGTAATAGTCAAGCTACTCCTTCCTATTACTGCAATTAGATATCCCAGGGTACACACTGCCACTTGATGAGAGCTCCACTCTGTACACTTGTGTTTTGGGAACTGCTATCTCAGGCTGCTGTCTTGGCTAATGAGCTAAAGGACATGGACTGGTATAAATTTTGTAATCCTTTGCTGGAAGCAGCACTTGCCTTAGTATCTATAACCGAACATTGGGAGTTGCAGAATTGCACTACCACAGCTTTTAGAGAAGCCAAGGCAGTACACCTGTTTTTGGGGAAAAGAAAAGTGAAGTAAGAGTGAACAGGGCATCCATGGTAGATCTCATTCAGTCTGACTTTATTATCTACATGTCTGTTTTGCATAAAGCAGGCTATAGTGGTTTACCATTCTGTGGCAGGAAAACGGGTCTGAAGGTGAAGCAAGTAAACAGATAAACTGTGTTTTTGAGAAGCTGCATGGGGTGCTTCCAGCCAGATTGCCCACAGAAACCAATAGTGTGGACATCAGTGAACATGCACTTGATAAAAAGAACCTGTCCCTCACCAAGAGGAGGAGGACCTTGTTTCTAAGGGGGCTAGTGCTCTACCTGAATGAAAAAGGAGCAATGACTGGGATGAAATATGTGGTCAAGATTTGGGTGTAGAATTATCTGAAGAGATCAGTTGACAAACATATTGGAGAGGGAAATACAAGAAGAAATAAACGTCAAGGAATGACGTCACTATGTTGTGAAAAAAAATCTGTGTGCAGTGTAACTATTTTATACAATGCCAAGAATTCAAGTACAGGTTTACTGTTTTTTAAAACAGATTGTCACTATTTACTGGTATCTGAACTACTGGTTAATATTTAAAAGACCTGAATCAATATACACGTTTTTTTAAAAAGCAAAACTATCTTTGGATTGACCAGGTTATGTAGCAGTATAGGTTAGCGACAGACTCTAATAATATTCCATTGATGACTTGAAGAACATAGTTATATCCAAATTTAATTTGGTTTTAGATTGCTTATAGATTGAACAAATGATGCCTGTCAAAAAGAAATTCAGTTTTTATATGAGGGACCAAGCAGCGTCTCTAAACGCAGGGTTGATTGCAGTATTTATGAAAGTATTTTGGTTAGACTACCTGAATACACTTGACTCCTTAAAAGTGGTTGAGCATTCTATCAGCACTACACGCTACTGGGAAAACCTGACTTGAGTATTATGAATTCTACACTGGGGGAGGGATAGCTCAGTGGTTTGAGCATTGGCTTGTTAAACCCAGGGTTGTGAGTTCAATCCTTGAGGGGGCCACTTAAGGATCTGGGGCAAAATCAGTACTTGGTCTTGCTAGTGAAGGCAGGGGACTGGACTCGATGACCTTTCAAGGTCCCTTCCAGTTCTAGGAGATAGGATATCTGCATTAATTTACAATTTAATTTATTTACAATTTAGTAGTATCCACTGTCCTGACCTAAACATGCCACTTCTCAGCTTTTCAGGATTTTTCTGCTCAATATAATAATTACATGGATAATTTCCTATAATTCTACCTTTCATTTGAAGGGTGTATTTACAAATCATGCTACTACATTTTGACTGAGTAGAACTAGCAAAATATTGGAGTAGATTGGCAAGTATTGAAAAATCCATTCATCAGTGGTGAATGAGGGACCTACACGGTTGTGCCTATAACCTTAGAGATGTGAACCAACAATAAATTTATGTAACATACTCTTCAGTCAACTTCATTGCTACTCTTTTCATAACTTTGCTAAGTTGGATCGTAGTGAAATCAGCCATGTATTGATTTCATGGGTGCTATTCAGATCCCTATGGGAAGCAGTAAAATGATCGGTCATGTTAATTTCATGCTGCTGCTTAGAAAGCTTAAGAGTGGCATTAGACACAGGCATACAGGATCTATTCATTGGAGAAGAGAATCCAAGAAGTCAGGGTATCAAAACCCCCTCTCTCTTTAGTAACAACAAAGCCCTGGATGAGGGGAGAAAAACAGCTAGCACAGAGTGGAGTTTCACTTTTATACGATTCCTACTATACACGTCAGAGGTGGATATGATAGAACTCTCAACCAGAATCCGGGAACAGCATCCTTATTTAAAAAATAAAAAATCCCTCCCTCTTTCTATACTGCTGAAGCAGGTGTCCTGCCCAAAGCAAACTTAAGCTAGGAATTGAAAAATCCTCATTCCAGGCAAATAGGAAACTTTGCAGGGTGAGTGTCATCTGCTGCAGAAAGTAAATTTTAAATAAGAAAGTTTTCTAGCCTTTATGCATGATGAGAGCCTTCCAAAGCCAAACCAAGCTGGACCCAATGCAATATTCTGCTCTTCAGGCTGCAGGCAGACAGCTTTAGTGCTGTTATTGAGCTTCTATAAGTGTAAGTTTCCATTGCTGGTTTTATAGGTCCTGGAGGGCAGCACTGACATTGACAGTCGGGTCAACTTCATTCTGCAGAAGCTGCTGATGGCAACCATAAGCCACAGCAGAGGACGGCATTGGGAGTACTCTGGGGAGGGGCCTCCAAATGGAGCCTGTGAAGGGGAGAAGTGCAGTTGCAGAAACTCCTTCCTTGAAGCATCCAAAAAGCTGAGGGAAGCTTAGGGTTCTGGCGACAAATTCCACCTCCAATCACAGCAGCATGTGTAAAGCAGAAGAAAACGTTTGCCCTGTTAAAAACCAAAAGGTCAAATACATTTCAGTAAACAGATTAGATTACTACTGTGGCATTTGTTAAATATCAACACATATTGTTTCTACAGTATACTCAGCCTGAATAGTAAGTTACATTTTAAAACAGTTATTAAATAGAAAGCTGATATAGCTAAATACAATGTACACCACACAACTCTCTTTATTTCTTTTCAGTTACAGAGGATATGGCTTTCAGGGGCAAGAGTGTGGCCACACTGGTGTTTTCACCCCTGGCTAATAAGCCTTGTTCTTGGGCTACTAGTGTCTGGTGTACTTTTCAACCCCTGACTTGAGCAATAGTCATTGGCTAGGAAGCTGGCACTTACAATCAAAGAATGTATTCTGCGCCGCAGCGGTGGAGATCACAAAGGCACAAGATCCTTCAACTAGTGTCAAGGAACTGAGGGTGTATAATCTGAAGAGGGCGGTATGTGATAGCCACTAGGTGGCCTGGCTCTCACACTGCCCTGTTAATGCTAACCTAGCAGTTAACAAAAACCTAAACTGTGGGAGCTTTGCAGCCTCTGTATTAGGAAGCCAAAACCCAGAACTGAGAATCCTGTGTTGATGGTGGGGCCACTCCATCCTCCTGTATACCAATATGTATACCAATATATAGGAGCTATACAAGAGCCACAAGAGGCAGGGGGAGAATTTCTCCAGCACCGGAGTTGCATGGGGCCAACATAAGCAATCCAACACAGTCCGCCCTCACAAGCCCTGCCATGTAAGGGTTGGTGGGGATGTGTCTCTAGCACTGAGTACTATAGGGAGTCTGGGTTGCTATGATGCTATCATAAGTTAGAGCATCATCAGAAGCTATTCTAACTTATGCTGGGGGTTGATCTGGGCCTTGCAGCATGCTAGAATCCGAAGATCATATAAGTTGCATATGGCTACCCTAAGGTATGGCACAGAATCTAGCCCAGTGTCATTAAAGAAAGAATACTTTAGAAAACCACTGTTCTATAATTTCTGTCTTGTGAAGGTTACCTTCAAGAAGAAAAACAAAAATATTATGACCAGCTTTTACTGACTGCCAAGAATGATCTTGACACTGAAAGACAAACTATAACCCAGCTGAGATCTGAACTTAATGAATTCAAAAAGAAATATGAAGAAACAAAACGAGAAGTAATGAGTTTAAATAGCTTATTGCAGTCACAACGCAATGTTGCTACGCAGACTCTAGAAGATGAAAATAAAATCAAAGGAGATAAAATACAGAGGTTAAAGGAAGAGAATGTAACTACCAGAGAAAAGCTCAAAGAAGAAAAGAAGAAGACTGAAGATCTCTTATCTCAGGTAAGTGGATCTAGTATGCGAGTTTAATTATATTAGCAAAGGATTAAATTAAATATATTTTCAGCTCTTTAAGCACAAAAGAGGGTCATAATGGTCTGAAACTATTTTATTCTGTTAAACATTATCTGCTTTCTGCAGACATTTAGAGCTAGTCTACACTAGGAATTTAGGTCGATATAACTATGAAACTCAGGGGTGTGAAAAATCCACACACCCCGAGCAAAGCATTTAAACCAGCTTAACCCCGAGTGTAGACAGTGCTATGTTGACAGAAGAATTCTCCCATCAACTTAGCTAGCACCTCTCAGGAAAGTGGCATAGGTAGTGTCTACACTGAAGTGCTGCAACTGTGCCACTGCAGTGTTTTAAGTACAGACAAGCCCTTAGGGCTCTCTCTTTTTTTTAAAATGATTAAAGGTGATGTCATACTCTGCAGTTTGTTGCTTTGGATTTGCATCAAAGGCCTCATGAAATCTGCTCTAGCTAGCACGTTCTTTACCACCACCAATTATTAGAAACTTTAAAAATCCACCAGATACAATTTACATACAAATGTAAACTTTTATGAAGCAAATGCCAGACCATCTATTTTTGTCCCTTGGAGAGAATACTTCACAGCAGCTAACCTAGTTCCAGTACCTAAGCTCAGTGATTCAATATCCTCCAGTGTTTACTTTACTAAAATCTGTTGTTGCATATTGAATGTTTAAAGCACCTATCTCGTTTCATACACTGTGCCCCTCACTGTAGTTTGAATGCCTTTTGGCACTTCACTACTTTGTTCTAGCGCTTTTCCCCTCTGTGGGAGCATTGCTTGAGAAAGGACAGTCCTTTGCCAGAAGTATCAGTTAACATGGTTGCTATGGATTCCAGTGATATATTTTATGGAAAGCTATATGCCTACACCAAACATCTCATGGCACAATGTATAAAACAACAATTGAGTAAACTAAACTTTTTGTAATAGTCATTATGCAAAGCACAATTTAAATTCAAGCAATTTATTGTGACTAGTTTATGCTTTGGCTAGCCCTGTTGAAATGTTTTCATCAGTATCAGATTTTAGGTATTGTAAATTGATTTCCTTGTACAGGACACAGCACTATTTGTACTGCCTGACTGCTCACAGCTGGACTCCATTTGGACCTTAGGTCAGAAGGAACTATGGTCCTGATGCAAACTGTATGTAAGGTCCAAAGGGAGGCAAATCTGGATATTGACCAGGAATCTGGGTGTGAACCTGGACAAGCAGGGGAGGTGCTGAAGTAGGCAACTGCAGCCCTCATGGCATCTGGATTCGGTGGGGCCAAGGGAAGTCTGTAGAGTTTAGCTAATTCTCTAAGGCTGTAAGAGTTACTGGAGCTAAACTGCTTGTTGGTATCTGCTGCTGCTTGTGGCTATTACCCAGGTATTTGGAGGAGAGGAATATTTGCATGTGGCAACGTGGAATTAATTTCCTGGATTCCGAGGGCCTGATGTACAGCCTGTTGAAATCAATAAGCTTTCCATTGACTTAATCACCTAGAAAAGCTTTCAGGAAACATGTTTCCCTTCCATGTGACTTCATTTCACTGAAGAAGAGTGGAGGGAAGTTCAGTTGGCTTGGATACTATGTATGAGAGATTTCCTTGAGCACTGGAATATGTAAACTCCTAGTTAATCCTGTTTTGTTGTTTTTTTTTAAAGTCAGTCATTCTTTGAGATTTAATAATTACTATATGTAGAAATTATTGGTTACAAGTGCCTTCTTTCCACATTATAGGTCCAATTTCTTCATAAATCTTTGTTCAAACAACAAGAACAACACACCAGGATAGCTTTGTTGGAACAACAGGTACCAAATTACATTCTAAAGTTTTAGTTGATTTAATAAGTCATATTATATTAATTAATGCACATGACTCTTAACATCCTTAAATTTTATTATGCGCACAAGATTTTTAAAAATATGACATCCTCAAAGTGCATGTTAAGAACTGATAGCTGATGGCTGATAAAAGCAGCAATTCATTCATATTCTAACATTGGAGCTTTCTCAATATAATGCATGTGAGAACGAAGTTCAGATATAAATGTGAGACTTGCCTGACATGAGGCTGCAAAAATTCTATATGAATTTTTAGTTCCCCAGTTAATCCTTGTCAAAGTATTGTTGTAGTAGATTTCCCCACATATAGCAAAGTAATCTTTGCCTTTCATATTATTGCTGTACTCTGTAGTATGTTATTGGTGGTAATTTCAGTCTAATTACAGGCTTACTGATTACATGCAGGCTTTGGATAAAATCACTTTTGCTTTAAAGTTGTTCTGAAATTATATGGACACTTCCTTACAAGCTTAAATCTATGCTGTTTTATAAATAAACTCTATTTCAATAGACAACTCTCCTTCCAACCGCTTTAAATAAATAAGCTCTTGTTCTGACTGTTCACATCACTGAATTATTTTGTCAGAGCAAATTTGTAACAAGGAAAGGAGCTAGAGAAATTTAATACAGTAATTTAAGCAAATGCTACCAGGCCTATATAATTAATAGTCAAACATAAACATGTGAACTATACTATGTCAATTAAAATGAAAATCTGATATTCTATCTTTAAAACATCAATTAACTTCAACACTCTTTAAGAACAGACAAACTAAAATGTGTTCTTTTCCCAACAAAACATTGATCTCAATAGTTCTGTTCCTTGTACTTTTCTTGCTGTCGAAACTTTCCTCCAACTTTATTTTTTATTATTCATACCTTTTAAAGATACTAGAGTATGTGTGTATAAAATTAATATGTGCACCCATGTACTGTTTAGAAAATGGTCATTGTGGTGTTGGGACCCAAGTTTAACAGATCAGCAATGTCAAGTTTGTAGTATGGATGTCTTTCAATGTTGTCTTTGTTTCACTTTGAGAAAAATGTTGAGGTGGCAGTTGTTTCTATTTTCTAACCACAGGTTGTGCCATATGGTCTTCCGTAGTATGTTCATAGTCAAACACTGACTTCAAAATCTCTTCCTGCAGACACATTGATTTATAACACTGTGTAAAGAGAAACTGCATCATTCATACTGTTGTAATTTTGTGCAGCAACTCTCAGTCCTAAAATATAGATTAAATGTATTCAACCCCTAACATTTAACAAAATGAAAACCATCCAACCAATCAAAACAAATGGGTGGAGAGAGGGGTGGAACCCTGGAGTAAGCTCCTGGCCCATTAGAGTCTATGTTTCTACCACTGAATTTAGTGGAAACAGGCTTGTTCCTCAGGTTTTAGATGGTATTGAAGGGAGACAATGTATTAAAAATGCTAAGACTTATTTTACATACTTGTCTTATGTCCTCAGGGCCGGCTCCAGCGTTTTGGCCGCCCCAAGCAGCCAAACAAACAAACAAACAAACAAAAAAGCCGTAATCGCGATCTGCGGCGGCAATTCGGCGGGACGTCCTTCGCTCCGAGCAGGAGTGAGGGACCGTCCACCGAATTGCCGCCGAACAGCTGGACGTGCCGCCCCTCTCCGAAGTGGCCGCCCCAAGCACCTGCTTGGTAAGCTGGTGCCTGGAGCCGGCCCTGTATGTCCTGATGGAAGACTGTTTCATTCCCAAAGGGTAACAGCAGCTTTCAGCTATTTTACTATCTAATGACCACACAAGAAATAGTAATTGGGGGCAAAATAGACTGCTTGCTGAGAATGTTATCCTGAGGGAGTAACTGGTATACTAAGAGGATGATTGATGTTTGTGGAACATGGGAAACTAGAATCAAAGGTCAGGATGCCCGTTCTGGATACAGCTCTCCTGTTGATGGAACCTTAGAATAGTATTGTTATCTTAGTACTCAGCTGCTTTCTAACATCATTTAGCACATTGACACCATTTACTAGTGTTTGGATTAAATTCTGTCCACATTCCTTAATGTTTGTAGAAGATGCTTTTCATCAGCTAATGGCCTATTGTTCTCGTATTTTCTATATTTATATTGTGTTTTGATTTTTTTGACATCTATAAATCTTCAGTGGCTTTGTAGCAAGTCTGTCTGTTACAGGATAGTATCTTGTGAAACTCCTTAGTCTTGTGTCTCCTTAAAATTCTATATATTTTAATGGAAAGCATGGTCACAGTATGCAAGCGCAGATGTCATTAGTATTAATAGGAGTTATACGTGTGCAATGCATAAAGCCAATGGCCTGATACTGTCCCTGAGAAGTGGGATACTTTTCCCACTCACATTGCCATGGTGTCATACTGTAGTCACACGGTGACTAATGCCATTTTCAGCCTCTTTAGAGCACAGTGTTGTAGCTTAAAATTTAATAGATTAATGTGCAACCAGTCAAAAATTGAAACTTCTCTCCAAAAGTAATTCTTATTCTGTAGTTCTAGCTCTGTAACTTCTCGTTTTTTCTCATTGCATTTACCAGATCCAAATGTGTACTGCAGATTTTGAGAATGAAAAGCTTGATCGCCAGAGCTTGCAGCATCAGTTGAATAAAGTTCTTAAGGAGCTACGCAAGGCAAGGGAGCAAATAACACGACTGGAGCCCTTGGTGAGTGCTGAATGACTTACAGCTGAATTCAAGCAGTCTGCCTTCACCAGGGGTCTTATTATACATATGCATGGAACTCCTATAGGTGATGGAGCTGCTTGCACTCATCAGTGAGAGAATAAACCCCAAAGCCTGTAGATCACTCAATAGAAAAACTGAGGAATAGGCAAGAGTAATTTAGTAAACCCCTGGCTATGTGATTCTCCTGAAGTGCTCCTTCCCCTGATTGTGTGTCCTTGTGTCCTTGACTAGAATTTTTTTGAAGCTACTTATTGGTCATGGTTTTGTGCATCCTTCTCTTCATTAGGTTCGTTCGGTTAGTTTAGATCACTTACATATACACAGTCTCCCTTAGCTGGCTGCTGCTCCCTCTAATTCTGTTATTACAGTGGTGGGTGGCTGTTTAACCCTAAGGTAAATAGCAATATGTGTTACGTGTCATTTGTCAGAGGCTGATCTGTTCTTCATTTTGCCTCCCCTGGCTCCAAAAGCCACTTGAGCAAGAGGGAATGGAAGAATGGCACTAGCACTGCAGTAGTTTTATCTTAAGCCAGTTTAAGAGACTAATACTATGGCCTTTGCAGTCATGCAAAAGACTGGTGCTGCAGGCAAATAGCACTAGAATAAAAATGTTTGTTTTCCTCAAAGGTGCTCAGTCCTTCATTCCCAGCCCCACTGGAAAATGGTAGAACAGAACAGGTCACAAGAAAGAGTAAAAGAAACAGTATTTTACACTCTACTGTATCTTATCCCGAATGCTGTATTTTTCCCATGCGCCTGCAGGCCACGCTCTTGTTGTTAAAGCAACAGGTCTTGCCCTAATAACAGCAGTTAGCTGTATACTGGTTGGTGGGTGGGGAAGAACTATTCATGTCTTTGGTATCCCAGTGCCCCTCAGCTTTAACAGGAACAGTGGTCACTTCTGATACACATTGTGGGGAATGGAACTGCTGCCAGGGAAGCTAGTGTTCTGTGTACCTAGAGCAGGAGTACTGCTAGATGCAGGGCAGCAGACTACTAGCCAGCCTGAAACTTGCTCGTTACAGAATATTGGGCTGCCATATTCCTGCAGCCTTGTACTTCAATGTAAATGTAGTTTGCAAGCCAGCAGCTGTGAACATCCATGAGCTAGAAGCTCTTCAGAACAAGGTACTAATAGTTCAGCCATCTTTGGTGTATACTCTTGGATTGTGCTCAACTTTTCTTGTTTCCCCACAAAATTGATATACACAATAATTTAAAGGGACATAAACTTGAAACCTAGTCAGGTTCAAAAAGAGTTAAAAGAAATGTTAGGAGCTACAACTGCACTCAGAGCCCATTAGCAATATCTGTGGTTGTAGAGCTAATTGCATTGCTATTTTTAAATGTTCTTTCCCCAAATGCTGTGAGTGTGCAGGACTTCACCTATTGGATACAACTGTGCTGTCAAATGCACCCTGTATAGTACACTTTAGGCTGCCAATTTTCTGTGACTATAATGGCTTCAATTGAAAACTTTTTTTTCAGAAACTCCAAGAATTTGGACGTACAGAGCCATCAAATGGTTTGCAAGCAGCATTCGAAGATATGTTGACAATAAAAGACAAAAATCTCTCACTGAAACGTTCAAATCTACTTGATGAAAGCTTCCTTGAGTGTCCCAAATGTAAAGTACAGTATCCAACAAGCCAGCATAGAGAGTTACTAGCTCATATTGATTTCTGTGCAGATTAAGCTCCAAATGGAATTGCCATATGTTTACTGCATTTTAAATGCAGCCAGGATTCTATCCTACAAAAGGAAAAAATGGCTTTTTAACTCCTTTTCTTTTTTAAGGTTGTATAAAAGACTAGCACATTAGTTTCATATTCCAATTTAACAAGAATGGGAAATTATTGTAATTTATTTTGCTTTGTATAAATATTTCACTCAGCATTTTTGTGAAAAGTTATCTGGAACCACAAGTTCAGTGAATGAGAATTTATCAGAAATAGGAATATTTTAAAATGGTAAACTACTGACTTTGTTTTTGCACTATTAAAGCTATGTATTGGGGCCAGTAGAAATAACAGCTAACTCCCATAAACCGTCTTCCTCTGTTTCCCATACCCAGCTACCTTGCTCCACATAAACAGGCCTCAAAATGAAGAGTGATATACTTCTAGAGCCTCATAGATAGAACCACCATAATTGAGAATAGCTATACAAATTTGGTTTTGGCCCTAATACAATAATTGCATTCCACTAGAGAATAGGTTCAACATCTTGATACCGTAAACTGTTTTGCAAGAGGAGTTAAGATGTTTTTTCTACTGATGGGTGGTGTTTTCAATGTGTGTCTTACTCAGCACTCCCTTGTATCAAACAATCTGGCGCGAGCTAGGGCTGTTATGGAAATGGTGGTCAGTGAGCAAACTCTTCTCAAACCAATATTAAATGTGGAAAACAAATTTCTTCCCAGCAAATATTAGTCTACTGAAAAATTGGAAGCCCCAGTTTCAGAGAGCAACCAGGCACCTTTTTAGAAGCTGAAATGTCAGTTTATTATGTTGAAGCACACTCCTGTTTGCACTTCTATATCCTACTTCTTAAAGTTGGGAAATATAACTTACCAGAAAACCTGTTTTATTTCTGTGGGGGGTTTTAAGAGTCCCTATTTTGCAAATGGAATATTAATAAAATGCAGTTGGGTTTCTCATTCTGAAGTCACTGTACTTTTTTTTTTAATAATAAGGAAAACTAATAAAGGCTTGCACACTGGTAAGTAATACTGTGGCAAATTATGCCCTTTGCAAAACTGTCACTGTTGTTAGTGTTTTGCTCTATTTGAACCTGCGATGGATTCTTCTATATATGTAATTAGAAATGTCTAATAGTGCTTAAATACTAGATTCATCTTGAACTTCCTTAGAATTGTTTTTATCTTGAACAGTGGTGGTCTTTTTTATAAAAAGGTTAACTTCTTACCACATACCTATGAGTACCTAGGAAGATAGGAATTGCCATAATGGATGAAATGCCATGGTCCATCTTGTCCAATATCCTGTCTCTGATAGTGGCCAGTACCAGATGGTGCAAGAACCCCACAGTAGACAGATGTGGAATAAACTACCCCAATGAAGGTCTCATCCTAATAGTTAGAGATATGTCTTAAATCTTGAAGATTGAGGGGTTTTGTTCTTTCCAAAACTTGGTTTGCATTTACTATTATAATGCTGGATGATACCATTATCCATCCCTTGGAATCTTACCAAGTTCTTGATCTCTGTGATGTTCTGTGGCTTATTTCTACAGTCCAATTACACATTGAGTGAAAAAGTATTTTCTCATCAGTATTGAATTTAACTTTCAATGTCTCTGCATTGTCACCTTGTTTGTGTGATGAGACAGGGAGAACAGAAGCTCCCGATCTCCCTTCTCCATCATTTGTTATTTTATATACTTGTATCATGTCTCCTTCATGAGTTTTTCCATGCCTCTAATTGATTGGTGCCCTTCGCTGAACCCCTTTTATTTCTGCAATATCCTTTTTGAGATGGGGTGACCAGAACGGCACTCAGTATTCCAGGTGAGTGCTTACAATCAATTTATATAATAGCATAAAAAATATTTTCCATATTATTCTCCACTCTATTCCTTATGCATCCTAACATCCAGCTTGCTTTTTTTGACTACAGCTGATCATTGAGCAGAAGTCTTCATCAAGTTGTCCTGAGGCCCAGGTACTTTTCCTGACTGGATAGTTAATTTAGAAACCTGTAAGCATATGAGCAGTTCATTACTCCCCCCCACCCCTCATTCTGTATTACTTTACATCTATCAATATTGAGCTTCATCTGTCATCATGCTGCCCATTCACCTCCTTTGGTTAAGTCCCTCTGAAGTAGAGCGAGGTGAATAATGGGGTATTCAATTCGCTGGCTATTTTGAAAAAAAAATTTAAAAGGCGTTTTAGGTCAAACTGAAAATGACATTTTTCAGTGAATCAGTAGAGAATTTGAGTGAAAACTAATTCAGCTGTTTCAGCAGTGTCAAAATGAAACATTTTGTTTTGCATTTTCACAAAAGCAAAGGAAACACGAGTCACACAATGAAGGTGTGGGGAGGGAAGTAGTGCCTACCTAATGGTTAGAGCACTCACCTGGTTATTTCCCTCTCCCCACCATCTAGCAGGGATTTGCACTTGGGTCTCCCCCACTGCAGGAGCATGGCCTGTGGGGTTGCCTCACTCTCCTCTTGAAGCTGTTCCGCTTTTTATAACCAATTAATCATTGGAGCAGGAACTTGAACTTAGATCTGTTATATCCTGGGTAAGTGGTGCACCTACCAGGCTATAGGATCATTCTCGCTCTTGTTCCCTGGCCCAATGACTACATTGTCATTCATAATAGGTGAGAACAGATTTTTTTCTTTAATAAAATAGTTGCATAACAACCCTTCAGTTGCAGCTATTTTCAAATACCAAGATCATCATCCTTTAAAACCACCATTTCATCTCCTAACCATATGTTTGCTCATGCAAGTCCGTCTTTAATTTCCGTGTTCTTACCTCCTTAGCGTATTGCCTAGCTGTTTTATTTGCCATGTGCAAATAAGACTTTTATAAATGTCTTCATGCAAGAAATGCAATAAACAATCTGTTCCCAACTATTCAATTAAAATTCAGTAAGAAGGCACATTGTTTAACTATATATGTGAGGAAGACTATCAAGTTGAAGCACACAGACACATTTAGAGTTGGTCATGTATCACCGCGCACCTGAAAAGAATCATGGAAACAAAAACACAGTGCCTTCAAGGGATCTATAGAGAACAGATTCTCCCTCTAAAATGTACCAGAGAAGGGATGGAGGATTACACAATTAAAATATGCCAACAGAGCTGATGTAAAAAGCATTTTAATATTGACCTGTCACATGCTGTAAACTGGCTTGCACTGTCACATCCTGTTTTGATACAACTCGAAGAGCTTTGAAATCTACGCAGCCAGTTTGGATTGAACAAAATTAAAGACTGGTAATAAGCTACTATGTGATCACATCTTTACATTTGAGATTTTTACCTTATTCAAAGTTATGGTTCCACACCCACTAACTAGGGTCCTTGATTTCAAAAGGGCTAACTTTAAATAATTAAGGGAATTAGTCAGGAAAGTGGACTGGACTAAAGAATTCAAGGATCTGAATGTGGAGGAGACTTAGTTTCTGTAACTTTGAAAAAGTAATTCTATCTAAAGCAGGGGTCGGCAACCTTTCAGAAGTGGTGTGCCAAGTCTTCATTTATTCACTCTAATTTAAGGTTTCACATGCCAGTCATACATTTTAATGTTTTTAGAAGGTCTCTCTTTAAGTCTATAATATTTAACTAAATTGTTGTATGTAAAGTAAATAAGGGGTTTTTTTAAATGTTTAAGAAGCTTCATTTAAAATTAAATTAAAATGCAGAGCCCCCCGGACTGGTGGCCAGGACCCAGACAGCGTGGGAGTGCCACTGAAAATCAGCTCGTATGCCACCTTTGGCAAGCATGCCATAGGTTGCCTACCCCTGATCTAAAGCTTACATCCCAAGCAAGGGGGGGAAATTTCATATGGAAAGGTTTCAGACCAGGCTGGATGAGCAAGCATCTCAAACAGGTGATTGAGAGAAAGTAGAAAGCCTACAAAGAATGGAAGATGAGATGAATCAGCAAGGAAAGCTACCACTTGGAAGTCAGAAAGTGTAGGGATAAAGTGAGAATTGCCACAAGCCAAACAGAGTTGGAGCTTGCAAAGGGACTTAAAACCAATAGTAACAGGTTCTATATCAATAAGAACAAAACAAGGAAAGAAGTGGGACCGCTAAACATTGATGATGGGGTGGAGATTAAAGATCATCATGGTGTGGCCCAACAGCTAAACAAACACTTTGCCTCAGTTTTTAATGAGGCTAATGCACAAGGGCCTGTAAAAGGGATTGTTTTTTACCCTCATCTGAAAAAATATCTCATCAATATAGTTTTGGTAGCTGCATTGACCTTTTTCTTATATACACTACATATGATACTCCTCGGGGAATTCTGCATCACTGCGCATGCGCAGAATTTATGTCCCCCACAGATTTCTTTGTTTCCCTGCAGAAAAATGACTTTCTGATGTGGAAACAAAGGGAAGCCACAAAACCCGGTCCTGCGACCCTCCCAAGCAGTATGTTTTGGGTGCCCAGGCCAGCTGACAGAGACGTAAATCACTGTGGGGCCAGGGCAGGACTGGGGAAGACATGGCTGGTGGCTCCGACCCTGCGCTGAGCTCAGCAGCTAGTCCCAGCTGGGTGGGGAGGACGGGACTTCCTCTTCCCCTGCACAGCATCTGGGGCTGGGTCAGACCCACTCCCTGATTTCTCCCCAGGCTGTAGGAAGCTCTGCAAACTCCCCCCAATCCCTTCCCTTCGCTTCCTGCACCCATCGTGCCTCAGCTGCTCCCGCACCCGTTCAACCCCCATGCATCCAGACCACCTCATACCCAGACCCGCCCACTGAGCCCAACTCAGATCTGACACTCCCCCGATGAACCCCACTCCCCATGCACCTGGACTACCCCGAAGAGCAACCCACACCCACATCCCCAACCTACTGAGCCCCAACTAGATGCACCTGGATCCCAACCCCACTGAGCCCCAGTCCTCCAGCATCTGGACACCCCCACTGAGCCCCCACACACACCCAGACCCCCCAGCTGAGCTCTATCCCTGCTCCACTCAGACCCCCCCTGCTAGCCCTAACCGCCTTCACCTGGACCCCTCTGCAGAGTCCCATTACCATTGCATCCAGAACCCCCCAACAAGCCCCTGTGCAGCCAGATCCCCCACTGATCGTCCTCACCCAGATTGCCCCACACAGAACCCTCTCAACCCCCCCCCCCGGACTCCTCCCACACTAAGCCCCTCCACACTTGGATCCTGCCTTGCTGAGCCTGCCTACCCACACCTGGTGCAACTGGCACAGAGGGGCAGGGCTCTGGGGTGTTTCTGGGGCAGGCCCGGTCCTTGCACTGTGTCAGGGTTGGGTGCAGCCTCACTGCTGAGTCTGTCCCAGGGGGATGGGGAGCTGCACAGTGATCTCCCACCTCTGTGCACCCAGTGGTCTGTGCTCCCCAATGCCATAAGAACAAGAACATAAGAATGGCCATACTGGGTCAGATCAAAGGTCCATCCAGCCCAGTATCCTGTCTACCAATGCCAGGTGTCCCAGAGGGAGTGAACCTAACAGGTAATGATCAAGTGATCTCTCTCTTGCCATCCATCTCCATCCTCTGACAAACAGAGGCTAGGGACACCATTCCTTACCCATCCTGGCTAATAGCCATTAATGGACTTCACCTCCATGAATTTATCTAATTCTCTTTTAAACCCTGTTATAGTCCTAGCCTTCACAGCCTCCTCAGGCAAGGAGTTCCACAGGTTGACTGTGTGTTGTGTGAAGAACTTCCTTTTATTTGTTTTAAACCTGCTGCCTACTAATTTCATTTGGTGGCCCCTAGTTCTTATATTATGGGAACAAGTAAATAACTTTTCCTTATTCACTTTCTCCACACCACTCATGATTTTATATACCTCTATCATATCCCCCCTTAGTCTCCTCTTTTCCAAGCTGAAGAGTCCTACCCTCTTTAATCTCTCCTCATATGGGACCCGTTCCAACCCCCTAATAATTTTTGTTGCCCT